GAGGCAAAGCGAGCATGGTTATATGCCGCTCCCAAAAATCCCGCAGCGGATGGCAAATGGGCAGGAAAAAATGCATTCTACTATCAATAGTGTAGTCTTTAATCGTATGCCATTTTTTTTATTTCCATTATGAGAACTAATTAAACTATTGATCACTGACGAATGCTGCCGCCTTGTGATATACCATATAACAATATCGTTAGATTACAGTAAATAACCATGAAGACCATGTGATAAAGAAAAAAAATAAGTAAGGTCAAGGAATTTCACTAACTGATGCATTCCGTCTCAATAATGAAATAGGATACTAGTTTATGAACTTGCAAGTTCGGGTAATTTCTTTTATTTCCTTTCCAAAAAAAAGTTTGCCAAGAGAGCGAGCTTGGCAAACGGGATTCCGTATGCAAAGAATGTACGCCTCCTCCTGCCTGTAAATGCCAAAGAGGAGAGAAAAAAAGAAAAGGAATTCTTATAAATGGGCAATGGCGTCCAACTGCCTTTTAGAACATGATGCAGATTTCAAATGCTTTATCAATAAATACAACAAACGAAAAAATATCAGGCTGCCAGCTTGCAATGCTCGTTTCAATGAAAGATCCATACTGAAACTCGAAGTACCAGTACTTACTATATCATGAGTTAAATTTCTAGCACAATAATATGTTGCATCTATAAAGAAATAAAAAATAAAAAAGTACAGTTGCAGAATTGACAGTGTTCACTTCTTGGAATATTGATTTGCGAAAGGAAAGCTCAACACGTCAAGGTAACATCAACAATACGTCTCATCATGTGAACGTGAAAGCCAGTAATTGCAGTAGTTACCCCATAATTTGATGTTATTTACTTTATTTTTGTATACTTCATGATTCTTATCTCGTTTCACATTTTCTGCACCAAAGACCTGCCAGTGTTGAGGCCATTATTTGCCATCGCGGTTTGATAACTGCCATTATGAATCGCAAACGCACATGCTTAGCAGGGTAATTGGGCAAATCTGCATACTTAACCCATCTTTGGACCTCCCGCACACTATTTTCGCTCAAGAGTAAGACTTCCCAAGTACAAAACAATAAAATGACTTCCGACACATAATGTTCCATGCATAATAAAGTCGAGATGCGAAACGGTGCACAGCAACGTACGGTGCATGACACGAAGTGTTGCAACAGCACAAGAATAGACTACCAGAGTGAGGCTTTGAAAATAATCAGTGAAACAGTATAACATCGACAATATATATGATTAATTATAGTGCATAGAAAGACACAGAACCAGGAGCACATGGCGAGAAGAACTATGGCAAAATCGTTAAGTGCGCCGGTCGACGTGATGAGGTTTCGTGATGGCAACCAGATCCAAATGGCAACCATCAAGACACAAAATCAAGTAAATGTGTAAGTGCACGTGCATTAAGGAGTCCACTGAGCGTGTAGTATGAAGTGTAAAGGTTGAATATGATTAGCGTGAGAACGGTGGCGTTGTGTTTTACCTCTTATCCTTCCATACACAAAAGGCCTCCAGCTTCTCCTGAACAGCCCTGTACCTGGGAGAAAACAGTGTATCATTCTTCATATTGTGGTCGCTTGCCTTTCTCCTGTGGCTGCGTGTTCCTAGATTTTCACGGACGGAAAAAAAAGCCTTTGTTGCAACTGCTACCCCAAACTGCCGATCCACGTACCGATGCAATTCCTTCCCACTATACTTTACCTCTCACGTGGCAGCTAGGCATATCTTCACGTACTGCAACATCCCTGATTTGCTGCGCAATATACTGAACTAATTCGTCTATGCTAATAGTGTTTTAAAGTGCCCTAGACTGTCTAAGGATAAACTCACCACTCTCCATATTACTAAGCTTATCAGAGATGTGCGTCCCTCCCGTCGCTTTTGGTCCCAACTGCCAAATTATATTACCTTCATAAAACGTCCAAGAACGCCCATAGCGCCACACGCACCCGAGTGTCACAAAAAGCCTCCCAGCTCCGTGCCAGGTATAAGAGTGCCTTTTAAAGTCACACTGCCTTCCTTGTGTCGAATAAAAGGATCCCAGCAAAGTAACAGGTAGAAGGGTGCATGGAATAGACACACTGTCTCCCACGTGCCATATCTGAATGTACCCAGCAGATGCCAGGGTCAAGAGTGTCTGATAGTCACACTGTCCATTTTGTGCAGTGATTTTGAAAGTCGGAAAAAAAATCAGCTGCCCTAAAATTCTAGGAGACAAGGACCAGGGAAAGGAAAACGACCAGAACTTACCTGGTGTCGCGGGTGTAGTGGGACTGAGCGACGCAGGGGTGGGGGACGCAGGAGTCTGAGTGGCGGTGGAACCCGAGGGGCGTGGGACACAGGTCGGTCCGCAGAGGTCGCACTCCACGCCCGCCTCCACACCTGTTGGGAGATAAAACACTCGTCAACAAGACGGTCTTACTTATACGTTACAAGCCACGCCTCGTAACCTGGCAGTGGCAAATCCATAGACAATGGCCAGTGGCGACATCTTTCAGCGCGGATCATTGTATTCACTAAATGTGTGTATGCGAGAACGTCTCTGTCCCTCGGAGAGACAATGCGCTCATCTTCATACATCTCCATACGCACGTGGACGCTCGTCTGACTGACCGACCGCGGCGGTGATTTGCATTCACACCAGTTCACGGGATACGTGTTTTCTACAGTATCAGTTACACTATGATATCCATTACTTTGCATTCGAAACCGCAGACATCTTAATCACTTCACGCATAATCTTGAGAGAATCCACTGTTCGAACTTTCACATTCTGGCATGGATTCCAATCATTCTTCCTGACGCCAACGCCCCTCAAGCAGCAAACGGGAGTCACGATCGACTTGTACAACTTTTTTTTTTCATGCCTTCCTTCACGGTCTCGCGCCTCGGTCCACACAATATAAATGTTCATCATATTAATTCAGCAGCAATACATCTGGCAAAAAAACACTTTCTCCCGAGATCATGAAACCCAAAAGCAGCTTACACCGACTTACAGTATGTTTATTTTACGTTGCACAGTGTGCCTAAAACTGCAATAATTAGGCCTATACTAGCCTTACCTATACCAAACAGATACTACAGTCTTCCAGTAAAATTAGCAATAACAATATGGTAGTATCAATTGCACTACTGTTTATAATGAGAATGGTAATAAAAGTGAATGTACTTTTAAAAATAAAATAACTGATACTAGTTTTAACAACATTAGGACGTAGTATAAGTACTATAGGAGCGAAAATTAATAACTAAAACAATAAAAATAAATCTACACAACCAAAGGACCAGGTCAGCCCGAGAAAAAATAAAAATGAACACAAAGTGAACCATCTTACAGTATAAACTCAATTAGCTTTGACATGGGTTCACGTGATTAGCATTGAAAGTAAAAAAAAATAAAATCTATTCGACATTTTTATGGAGCCAAACACTTCTTTGAAAATGGTCTTTAATTGTCCAAGTTCGTATCGTACGTTGAATCGTGGCCAATCAGAGGGCGCGCTGGGACGATATAGCCATTTCGCAACAGCTAGTACCATGGGAACTCTAATGGGTATAATCAGGTTTTCACTCGGTGACTTTACGACGTGTTTTTTTTTCTCTCTCTCGTGTGTGTTTGTGTTTGTTTGTTTATGTGTGGGTATGTAAAAGTGCGCGTGTGCTCGTTTGCGTGAGAGTGATATGGTGAAAGTATGAGAAGCGAGGGTGTTAACCGTGTCACGAAGAAACCCGCTGCAGCTGGGTGAATGTATATCAGAGGGCGAACACATGTGAATCGGAATGCCTTCGAAAATCACAATCGTTCTCGGGGTTCTGCTCTTTTGAATAAGCCAGACTCCTAAGCAATACAACAACGAAACTAATAACAACAGTTCAAATTCACATTGACACCGCCTTGGACCAACTACAGCCTCTCCTCTACCAAATAAAGGAACACTGTAAAAACAAGCAAAATGACACGCTGAAGCACAATACTGTCATGGCGTGTCAAGTGTGCTCCAGCAATTACGTTCCCCAACAGCCCAACTACCATCTCGTTAACGCGCGCAACAGATCGTAAGCTAAAAGGCTCCAACCGCGCCACGTATGTTTAAACACCGTCCTCCGCTACCGTTTAACGAGGCGCGGTCGCCATAGCAAGCTGCGCCCCTCGCCGCCGATCGTCTGCAGGTCATAAACCGGAGCAACGCCAGCGGCACTCGGCGCTACGGCACGACTTCCAAGGGGGGCGCGGGGGGGTGGGGGGTGGACGCTGCGGCTGAGCGTAATTAAGCTATAACGAGAAGCGAGATTACATGGTTGCTGTTGCCTCAAGAAGAAAGGATGACGGGTTAGGTTGGCTAGTCAGGTGGGGTCGGCGAGCGAGGGGCAGCTTGGGACAGGACGCGGACGGGCGCAGGCTTCGAGGGCAAGAGTCATCACGGGATACCAACAAGACGTACATCTGTCGACAGATGCATAAAAAAAGGAAGACTGTGTCAATGAAGAACCCAGAATATAATACACAGTCAATCATCAGGATGCATTGTGTGCGAAAACGAGGAAACCGCAAGATGGAAAAGAACAAAGGAACAAACAAAGGCAACGTACTAGAAAGTGTTAATGCGTTGGCTGATGGAAAGGGCCAAGCACCCCCACGAACATGCTCATAAGCCTTAAGTAAATAATTATAATGCCTCTGAACTGGTACTGCTGCTGCATGCTGTGACTGTGGCGGTGGCGGCTGCAGTGAGGAACGCAAGTATTAAAATCAGAACCATAATAAAAATACCAATAAAATAGTAATAAAGTAGTAGCATTATCAAACTCACTGATAAGGAATTACTACGACGAATAATGATAATATTAATGATGATCACAGTAGCAGCAAACAACAACAATAACGAAGAGAGCGATAAGAATGAGAAATAAAAACAACCCTCCTCACTACCGCTGCCTCCTCTTCGAACCTTCGTTTGCGCGAATTCTAACCCATTTACTTTACGAAC